GCGGATGCGGTGTGTCATTAGGTTTGGGCACACGTACATACCTAGCTTTCACCAAACAAGTGCACTGTGAAGCCAACCGATTGACGGGTGTACTACAAAAAACACTTCCTTCGGAAGACGGTAAATTTGACTGGAAAAGATTGTGGTCGTATTTGGAGCCACATTTATGGGAGCTGCTAGGTGCTATTGCTGTAAATATAATTATTTCGATTTCATTTAAGTTGTGCACGACGGTCGTAACGCGCAACGGTAAATACCGCCGTTTCATTTATCAGTTCGTGGACATGATAAGGTGGCTGATTTAATTTAATGCCGTCGATTTAAGGCGGTAATCACCTGCCTTATCAATAAAATCACTAACTCGTTTTTCGCAGCTGCTTGAATATGAATGTGCATATGTATGTTATATCCAACGCTATTTAATATTATACAATTCTGTTTACTATACTATTTAAGCGTAATATTAAAGCTTTTATTTAATATTAGGCTGCGCTAATTGTCGCTTTCATCAATATACGCATTCCAAACCTACTCGGAGATCTCGTCAACACTCTAGCACGTTATGCCAATACATACGTAAAAGATCCGCTCCATAATTCATTTTTCAGCGATGTCAGGCGTCCAGCGAGCAACTTACTAAGCCTGTATTTCTTGCAATCTGGTTTCACATTTATTTACATCTATCTGCTAAGTCGCGTTGGCGAACGAATAGCTGCCAAACTGCGACAAGATTTGTTCAAGCAGATTATTCTGCAAGATATCGCATTTTTCGATGCCAATCGCACCGGTGAACTGGTGAATCGTCTTACCGCTGATGTACAAGACTTCAAAGCATGTTTCAAGCAGTTCTTTTCCCAAGGTTTGCGCAGCATGGCTCAACTTGTTGGAGGAGGTGTATCACTCTTCCTCATCTCGCCGCATATGGCTGCCATAGCGTTGGCTGCAGTGCCAGTCGTTGTTGCTTTCATGTCGTATCTGGGGCGAAAGCTGCGGAATTTGAGCAGAAATGCTCAAGCACAGGTGAGTAAAAAGAATGAAATAAGTTTCTGAAATTCAATCCTAAGTCTAATGAGTTCCTTCTAGTCCGAAAGGGCTACGGCAGTATGTGAAGAGGCACTCTCTAACATACGCACTGTACGTTCAAGTGCTTGCGAATATCGTGAAATGGAGCTCTTCAAACAAGAAACTAATGAGGCAGCGCGGTTGGCGCAGGAGCTTGGTTACGGCATTGCTATTTTTCAGGGATTAACGAACTTTTTTCTTAATGGCTTAGTGTTAACCACGCTTTTCATGGGTGGTCACCTGATGTCTACCGAAAGCCTTTCGCCAGGTGCATTAATGGCTTTCCTAGTTGCATCGCAGGGTGTGCAAAGATCGCTGGCCCAAGGGTCTATCTTATTGGGCACTATGATTCGTGGAATGACGGCGGGCTCGCGAGTGTTTGAGGTAAATGTGTTTCAAATATAAAGCATTCATCTGTATATAAAATATTTTTATCAACCCTATAGTATCTTCAATTGCAACCGAAAGTGGAATTACTGCGTGGCTATGAAATTCCACAAAAACATCTGAATGGTGAAATCCGCTTCGAAAACGTAACCTTTGCATATCCTTCTAGACCAGATCATGTAATTAGAATCGATAAAGAGATTTATATATACTCCTCTAACGATTTATTTAATTATTGTTAGATTGTTTTAAAAGACTTTAACCTAATATTACGTCCTGGTCAGACAGTAGCACTGGTAGGCGCTTCCGGCTCTGGAAAATCAACTATCGCAGCCCTTGTTGAACGTTTTTATGAACCCATTTCCGGTAATATTAAATTAGATGGCTACAAACTATCTGACATCGCGCCTTATTGGCTACGTGGCAACGTTCTCGGTTTCATCGAACAACAACCAATACTCTTCGCAACGACAATACTCGAGAATATACGTTACGGGCGTCCAGGCGCCAAGGAAGAAGATGTTTATGCCGCAGCGAAGTTATCGCAATCGCATGACTTTGTTAGCGCACTACCTGATGGCTACGGTACTAATGTTGGAGAGCGTGGTACACAATTGAGTGGTGGTCAACGGCAACGTATTGCAATAGCGCGCGCCTTACTTAAAAATCCTAAAATCCTTATACTTGATGAGGCAACCAGCGCACTGGATGCGACAAGTGAAGCCGAGGTACAAAAGGCTTTAGACACAGCAGTACTTAACCGCACGACGCTAGTAATAGCGCACCGATTGTCGACCATAAGAAATGCTGATCTTATTGTAGTGATGGAACATGGTCGGATAGTAGAGGTAGAGGAATGAGTTTTAAACAGACTAATTAAATTTACTACAACTGGGTTTTACTTTACAGTCAGGCAAACACGATGAGCTTATGGCTAAAGGCGGGCTCTATTACGAACTGGTGCGCCAACAAGAGCGGCGAACTGTGCAAGAATCGGAACAGAATGAAGCTAACACTGCCAGCGAAGGCGAAAGCAGTTTTACTGCAAATGCCAACCGCCCAAATATGCAACAGGGATAGGATGCCCTATCGAGTTTATAACAACTGACGACAATACCTCTAAAAATTCCCCCAGGCTTTCCCTAATTGATGATGTTACTTTGAACTATTTATTTCAGTACTTACAAAAGGTGCTACCAGTTTGGTATTGGACCTAAAATGCCTTCTTATTGGCATTTTTTGAAATTTTTTCGATACAAATGAGTATGAATTAATTATGGAAATAAATTTAATTTAAGTTTAAGTGACAGACAAAGTTTAAAGGAGTATTTTAACGATTGTTGATAATAAAACTGCTGATTGTTAATATTTAGATCCATTTGTTTATGTATCAAGTAATTTCTAAGCAAAAAACAAAACCGACTTCAATTCTCTTATAAAAATATAAGTTTATCGTTAATTTATTCGCGATCCAATTACATTAGTGTACAGCAAAAATGCTCAATGGATGTCACTATCCAATTTCTATGTAGAATTGCTCGGTGATTCCGAAAATCGAGTGAATTTTTTTCTATGGATACTTTTTCGAGATATTTGCAATTTACCGTTATCCAGCTTAAAACGAAAAGTGGTTCCACTTAATCACTTATATCTTACGAACCAATTTAATAATCTTAAAATAAGATACGTCAAATCAAAGCTAATGAAATTCTTGATAAACTACATATACGTCACTTTCCGATGGGACTAATAGTTTCTGACAAATTAATTAATCATTCCACACATTCCAGTTTTTTTTATTTTTTAATGAAAAAATTAAAAAAAAATTAAACTTTAATAGAAGAAAAATTTAAAAAATAACAGGATCTGTTCCAAACAGAACAGGCTTTAGCACAAATGCAAAAATTTGGTAAAGAACCTGTTATTTTTTAAATTTTTCTTCTGTTAAAATTTAATTTTTTTATTAATTTTTTCATGAAACAGAGTGTTTACAGAGTGTTTAAACCAAAATGTGACTTACGATGTGAAATATAATAAGCACTCACTAAATCCAATTTGCTACAGGTATATCATTCACAAAAATATGCTAGATATTACAAATATCGGACCTAGGTATAAAATAGTATATATGCCCCTATCTTTAAAACAATTTCACGAGATCTGCAAGCGTTTTCATTGCATGAATACATTGTGAATTATTGTAATAGATTTCACCCGCAAACTGCATTCAACGCCATCTGGCATCACTTGCATTGTTGTATTCTAGTGAAGTGCTGAGTCGATACTTGAAGTATCCAATACTATCGACACTCGGTACCGAAATGTTTAGGTTTTTAATAAGATCCCACAAAACGCCGAATGCAGGGCCCAGGACAGTATTTAATATTGATTCAAATGAAAAATGTATATGTAGACGGAGAGCTCATGACCACAAAACTCATCATACTTCAGATCGATTTAAATTTTTTGTGAGATTAGCTTGTTAATATATAAATCGGGATCCGGAGGGCTGGCTGCTGAACAACGCTCTTTTAGCACATGTGTGTTTCACACGTATACGAAGAGCGGCAGATGAGCAGTGCATTTAACGCACACAGTCTCACTTAATGAATAGTTTGAATGTGTTAGAATGCAGACCGCGTTTTAATGGTCTTAAATTACTGCCAGCCCATGTTGAAAGTGCATTGTTGTATGTATAAATCAACATACTTCAGACGAGCTGTCCTTTCGACACTACATTCCGATGGTCAAATCATGTGAAAAATATAAAAAGCGTAATTTCCATCAGTGCGGGCGCGCGAGAAAAAATTTCCGTTGCTGGCCCTCGATCTCGATATATAAATTAACAGGTTAAGCTCACAAAAAATTTCAATCGATATGAAGTATAATGAGTCATTAGCTCTTGATCTAATACATATGGACGTATGTCGGTTCATTGCCGTAATGCAGAGGATCTCTTACATGTCTGGAGCATTTTTGGTTTAGATGAATTGGACGATATAACTCATCTTTGTAGGCCTGAAAGCCTTTTTCATCTGTCAAATCATTTTCCTTGAAACTTGGATCTACTTATGCGAAAGTTGATCAAATAATATATTACTCTTGCGATAAGTTCAAGTTTTTTAGCCGTTATCATATAAAATAGTATTAAGATAATTTTTTTATAGACTTGAAATATATAAAACGGCGAAGGTTTAATCTAAAGAATCGGTATTGGGCAACCTTATGGAAGTATTGGGTACCGACCATTCAGCACATCACTACTGTATTCGTTGTCGTTGGTCGTTTGGTTTTTGCCAGTCGTGAATAACTGACTGAAATGGATAAATATCTACATTTTATGTGTAGAAATTAGTTTCGGAAGTGAATTAAATTGTGACTTTTGTTGTTATAATTTCTGTTGTTAAGGTGAAATTGGAAATTCCATGTGAAAATCGGCAGTCTACAAGTTGCAAAATTTGCGAAGATTCGACGAAAAGAAAGGATGTCTGAAACCGGTTCAGCCTAGTGCATTTAGGTGCTTTTGACAGTAGCAGACAATTGTCAAAATTCATTCATTTTACCGATTGTGAAGTCGATTGTGCTTTTTCTTCTCACTGGTTATCTTCTTGTTTTTGACATTCTCTTTTCTGGTGGAAAAGAAAAAATTCACTGATTAAACGAGTCAACACGTACGCTTGTCCGGCTGCTGCTTTTTCGCATGCGAATAATTTGTATTTACAACACAAAATTTGTGGATAACTTAAGGCAAAAATGTAACTATAAAATTTTGTGTGCACAGGAAAAAGTGATTAAATTTTTATTTGAAATCGTCTGTTCTTGTGTTTGAAGTGCTTTCCCTTCTCGTCGAGTGTTTGTTGCGTCCCCTTTGTCAATTGCTAATTAAAAACGAAATCAACACGCATCAACCGCATATATAAATACATATACATAAAATTAAAATGAAGAAAATGTGTCTATGTGCAGATTTTTAAAAGTGCTTTTTAAGTAAAAGTGTTAAAACATCACTATGCAATGTACAAGTAGTGTGTGCAGCTAATAAGCGTGAGAGCTAGAGAAATTGAAAATTATAACGCAACGCTGGCAATTATCAGTACAAAGCCAACACCCCAATTCATCAGACAACGCAACAAAAAAAGTTCCACCAATAACAACGGATACGGTAGTCAAAAGCAGTCCGAACGTTCCATTACATTGTTTGGTAAACAAACGCGACCCATCACCAACCAATTAATTGTGTGCTGGAGCAGCAGTGCCGGAGCGCAACACGGATAGCTGAAGCAATAGCATTCCTTTGCTGTAAAATCACATTTGTGGCGAACACAAATCGACGAGCTTAGGCTTGGCTTGTTGAAAGTGCAGTGAACGTAGTTATTGTGGTCAAAATGGGCAATTGCTTAAGTTCGGAGAAACCAGACATTGCTAAAGCACACATTGAATGCGTTCCCAACGTGCCCAATGTGGATGGCGTTGGCAGTCAACCGGCAGATCAAATCCGTGGCGTTGTGCAGCAGCAAGAGCAAATACGTCAAGTACCACAAATTCCAGACAATGAAATTTCCAATGCGAATGCTAAAATATTCGTTGCACTGTACGATTACGACGCACGCACAGATGAGGATTTGAGCTTCCGTAAAGGGGAACATTTGGAGATCTTGAATGACACACAGGTATGTTTGATCAGTTTTAAAAAGATTGATGAATATGGAAACGTACTGCTAATATTTAACCAACAAACCTCTATCATTAAAGCATTTTCAATCCCAGGCATGTGTACTAATGTGCGTACACATCTGAGTATACATGAAATTGTTGCAAGCAAGTTATGCGTCATCACATATTTGTGACTCAATGACACGGCGAGTGCATAAGAAAAAGTACATATGAAAGAGAACATCTCATTCCCAGATCATACTACCATATTTTATGCTACAAGTTTGCTACAATTTTAGGAAAGTTTGTTGTTTGCAAACTGAGTTGAGTTAAAATGTATCTACTATAGCTGATCTGTGTAAATTTTGCTTACGCTTCATTATCTTATCACATTTTTCATAGAATTTGTTTGCTCGTAGATAGTTTTGTAGATAACTATTTGCAGGTAAAAATAGTTTAACGCAAATCATAGTGTTGTATAATGATACAATCATTTGAGGGATTCACAACGGTATGTTGTATGTCATAAACTCTAAAAGCTTAAATAAATGTTTAGAGAACTTGAAACGACAGCCAACTATTTTTTAGCACTGCAAAAATTCATAATATTACATTGATGGTACTTTACAAACCCCATTAATATATTTTTGAGGTGTTTAAAGTTTACAACATAAAACAATACGTAAAAATTACCGTAGATCTCACGGTAAAAATTACACCGAAAGAAGTTCTGTCCCACTTCTCCGGAAACGAGAATTCTGAGTAGTAAGGATTATAATCAACTAACGGCAGACCCAGGATGTGTGCAACTGCGACGGGGTTGGTCCATATCGACAGGGGACTTCTGATATAATTTGCTCAATCTTCCTCGATTTTTATACTATACCAAATCCATATATTAAAATAAGTCCGTAACTGTATTCCGTAGGTGTTGTGGTCAGCATCGCGAGATTGGCTGTAGAAAAAAAAAAATAAAAAAATTCATTAAATTATTTGCAAAGTAAAAGTTATCCTTTCCATTGCAAAAAAAAACTGTGTATTGGGTATTGAAAAAAAATCTTTAAACAATAACAAATTACACTTTTTATAGAAAAAATTAACAACGAAAGTATGTTAGTTGCATTCAATTACAACCGAATTCATTCCTTCGTACGCAAAGTACTTTGAACCACAAAACAACGATAAAATTTGTTTTTCGCAAGTTGCTTTTGACGTCGAAGCAAGAGTTATAAAATGTATAAACGATTCGGCGCGGTAGTTGATGATTGGCTGTCTTCACGTTTGACTGACTTCTGAGCTGGGTGAGCTGGTTCAGTTGGACGGCAATGGAGAGAGATTTGTGCATACGAATATACAATAATGCATAGATGAACATATGTATGTACGTATGTGTGTATGTATGTATACACATGTAGTATAGTAAGTGAGATATATTATAAGTTAGCGATAGATGTTGTGGGTGTGAGACTCTAACTTGTGTAGCTTAAACAAACCGCTATATTTTTCATTGAATAAGTAATGCTCGGTAGATCGCTTTTACACATATGCACATACATACATACATTAGACCGTGTCAGCTTACAAGCAAACAAAAAACCAGGACTTCGGAGCGGGGCGGAGCAAGGAGCTAAGGAGCAAAAGATTTTAGCTGGAGCAAAGAGCTAAAAAAAATTCATTTGCTCCTTACCTCCTTAAAGGAAAATCTTTTCTGGCCTAGCA